TGTCTGTCCCACGGACTCAATGTGTCGAAGACAACAGTCACGCCATTGGATCGGATCAAAGTGGACGTCCCGTTGGCGGCCATCGTATCGCTGGTCAACCATCGACTGTAACCCTCTTTGATTATATCGATTCTACTCGTCATTATCTCCACGAAGACAATCGTGTCAACCAATAGATCATCCAAAGAGTGGGCACAAGAGTGGTATGAATCGGCAATTCGTGAATGTCTTCGGATGTGTGTCTTCTGGACTCAAAACTGTGACAAAAGTTTTTGAGAAAATGTGTGAAAAATTTCATGAAATGTTTGCAATGTTTGGATGTTTTCAAAGTTTTGATGCATTTATTGACGTATTGTTTGTTTGGATCACATCTGAAGCAAAGGGCGGATACAGTATTAATATAACACCATTTGTGTCAACACTTGTCTCATCACTCAAGAGCTGAAGATATGATTCTTCTGGAGATCAACAATCGTGTTGTCGAAGATGTTCTTCGCCTTAAGATACAGGAAGTCGAGTAAGTGATTGAATGGCTGGCGATGGCCACCAATCCATGGCATATATCATGTGTTAACGTGTTTTAAATGTCTTATCGATCACTCGAACAGATCCGGCAATAAGTTAGAGTCGGTGGACGTGACGGTCGCCGACTTCGATGGCGTTCTCTTCCATATATCAAACCTGAATGGAGACAAAGCGAAGATACGGATCAGTATATCACTCAAGTTCTACAAAGAGCTGCAACTCTACGGCGCCGATGATCTCCTTCGCCGAGAATACGGTTCACTACTTATGACTCCTCCCGAAGAAGGCTATAATGTGTCGCTTCTCTTCGATCTGAAGAATTTACCGCAAGATTACGAACAACTGATCCAAAAGGCGGGTCTTTTGAAGCGTAATTGTTTCGCTTCCGTCTTCGAGAAGTACTTCGAGTTCCAGGAAAAGGGAGCCGAAGGCCAGAAACGGGCTGTCATTCACTACAGGGATGAGGAGACGATGTATGTCGAGGCGAAACCCGATAGGATGACAGTTGTCTTCTCGACCATCTTCAAGGACGAGGACGACATCATAATCGGCAAAGTGTTTATGCAAGAGTTCAAAGAGGGGCGGAAGGCATCACAAACCGCACCGCAGGTTCTCTTCTCGCATAGAGAGCCGCCGATGGAGTTGCAGAACACTGAGGCCCGAGTGGGCGATAACATCGGTTACATCACTTTCGTGCTGTTCCCGCGACACACCAACAAGAACTCCAGAGACAACACAATCAATTTGATCCACACTTTTCGAGATTATCTTCATTACCACATCAAGTGCTCCAAAGCCTACATTCACTCCAGAATGAGAGCCAAGACATCGGACTTCTTGAAGATCCTGAACAGAGCCCGACCTGAGAAACAGAACACCGAAAAGAGAACCATTACGTGAGTCCTCGCCATCTCTTCACTCATATATCCTTCCATTGAAATGATTTCTAATTGTTTTTATTTGTCTTAAATTAGCGGTAAAATAATGAATGTCAGGAATTGAGACAATCTATGGCCACGACTGACATCGCGTTTTTGTTGATCGAAACCACGAATTATTCCTCAAACACCTGTAGTTATAGTTATTTTTAACAATGATTTAAATTAAACGAAACTGTTTTCCAAAAAAGAGATATTTATATTTTAATTTCGTATTTAAAATAAAGTATTCATTTTATCGGCAATTTAAAAAAGTGTTTATAAATCATTTTTTGGACATAAAAAAATTGGTTCGGCTAAAGGGCATTGTTTGTTAGACAATGAGTGCTCCCCCGCCTATGTGTTACTCCGTCCTCGTCCAGGGGAGTGCTAACCTTCTCTCCTTTTATATAACACAAACCCATTCACACATTCATCTCCTTATATACCCGTCCCATCACTAGTAGTTATGCCGTTACAGTCTTTAAGTGTATTTATATAAGTTATCACAATTATAAACAATCAATGTTAATTCTATGGATTAAGTATTATTTCCATCATTTGTATACCAGTATTATGTGTTTAAAATATACTTTTATTGCATTTTATTATATGTTTGGAATTAAACAAAATTTAAATATATTATATGAGTTGTGCCTCAACTCCCGTTATAGGCGTAACGTTGTGTTTGTGAAGCGCTTTTGTATGCAAAGAAGCGACAGAGAACCGGATGCAATCAAATTGTGCTTAATATTCAATAATCTCTCATTTCATTCATTCATATCCTTATACTGTTTAGTTGTCAACTAAACATAAATTCATAAATTAATTATATATTCAGTTAATTACTTGAGAAACTGTTTATAAAAATATTTAGAGAAGTTTCTAAAAATTGCTAA